TTATGGGAGTGGATTTTCCAAAAAGTGTGAAACCCATCATCAATTGAGCCGTGAGCCAGTCAGTTATTTATGGCTTACTACTCACCAATAAAATTATTGCTTGAATGAGTACTTGTGCGTATGAGTTTTCTTCAATGAATAAATCTTCCTAAATATATATTAATGTTGTAGAACCTAAAATAAATTGAAAACCGTCTGGCTTAGACTCCTTGTGAATCGTTGTGATTTGTCTTACAATTTGTTGTTAATTAAACTCTTTTCTTTTGACCTATCGATAGGCCATTGGTCACAAAATGTCCTCATAAAAGGTAACCGCTCGTCCAGCAATGACAAATTCGGAATATTTTTCGCAGCCTTTGAAGTACATATTAATTTAAGGCTCTTTTTATATAATCATATTGCCTGCAACAAGGTCTCTTTTCATTTAAACGTTATAGAATTATAAATCAAATGATATCGAAATTATGACAAGGAAAACAAATTGCAATTCACAATCCAAGTAAATTTGTGTGTAAATAAATGTGAATGTAGTCAGTCGTATGAGTATTTGAGGATTTAATATTGTTGAATTTTCATTTAATTTGTGTGACTTCGTCTTAAATTCCAATTAAAATGTTCAAAGCCATCCGAGAAAAAACGCCTTGTGCAGTTTGATATGCAATTTATTTTTAATCGGGTTGCAGAAGCACTTGACACAGTCGACATCCTTGACTTTTAGTAGCATAAATATTTTAATAGTAAAGTCTAAAACAATTACGTAAAATACATGTATATTTCTTAAAATTAATCAAAAAATTAAATAGAAATGTTGCAGTTGCCTGCAACTGACTGGGCTAAAGTCCAATTAAAGCTTAAAGAGGCCAAATTTATATTGGAGACATGTTTGGATCGATCTTTGTGGGAGCTCTTAGGTAGTCTTTGACCAATGTGCTCTTTTTACTTTCTGAACGATATTTAAAAAGCTAGTGAGTGTTCTTGTGGGGAGACCCAGACTCTCAGATACCTCTCAAATAGATAAGATAAAACAGAAAATAGCCCGTGACAGGCTAAAATATTAGCAAGTCGCTTAAGAAACACTGTCCTTCGTCAATGAGAATTCTTCTTCCAATTGTAACTAGAAGTTTTCGAACATATATGTATATAATAAACATAATTAGTAGCTACCCGGACATTTGCCTGTACATAGTATGAAAACAATGCTGCTTAAGTAACATTTTTTATTGATTGTTGCATGATTGTTCGCGTATTTTTGAGCAAGTTAATTTGAAGTTGACTTTCTGGCGATTTTCGCGCGATAAAAATCCCGCCCGAACGTGATAATCGACACGTTGTCTCGCACCGTCTCTGAAACGTTAAAGTCGAGAGCAAGCAAAGCCCATGCAATGACCAGGGCAGAAGGAGCAGCCATCTGGCCTGGTCCAGGATAAGAAGTGGCATTAATTGAGGTCTGCCTGTCGTTGTGCGTGCGCGTGGTAGGTAGCCAATTGTTTACCATTTACCAGAAGCGGGAATCCTTAAAGCTACCCACCGACGGATTAAAGCCGCCTCCTCTGGGCCCACTTGGAGCCATTCATACGTAACGGCCCAGCCTGTCCCAAGCACGGAAATCTCAGGCAGATTTATTTATTCGCCGCTCGAGTTAAGAGCTGCAACTTATGAAATATTTAGGAATTGGCCGTTCCGTAAGCTTCGACGTCGAGTTGAAGGCAAAGGTAAAAACAAAGCTACTTCAATCTGTTGACCCACTCAGGCTGAAAACTTCTTCGCTGCTCTTTGATGTTATAGCCCCCGCCTCGGACCGAGCCTGCCCGTCGCACCGCCAGCTCCCGAATCCAGCAATTTGCACTCAATTGCAATTTCCGTGCCGTGTCGCTGGCTTTGGCGTTGCCAATGCCATTTCCATTGGTACGTGGCCGCCTGCATCCGCCTACCAATGGGTTAGGGGCTGCCCGCCTCCCTGCCTCCCCGCTTTTCGCTACTCGCTTCTCACTCGACTCTCGTTGTGGCACGTACAGCGCGAGCGGCGCTGGCAAATGGGAAATGCGCAGAAATTTGTTCAGCCATTTGTTGTTAGTTGTTGGTTGTTAGTTGTTGGTTGTTTTTTAAATATCAATATAAAACGTGACAGTAGGTGCTTTTTAGCATCTGAATTTCCTGAATTAAAGCACTAAACAAATCTCAATTGAGGGCCAGAAACCGCCACAATTTCGTGGGCGGCTTAAAGCTGGCCCGACAAACATGTTACCAGCAGTTGCCCAACCGGAAGTATTTTGGCAGCAGGGGAAGCAGGCTTAAACTGTATGCGCATTACAATCCAGACAGTCCTAAGAGTCCTGTGTGCAGCTGCTGTCAACAGCTGCGATTTCAGAGCTAAGTACATATGACTTTGTGAGTGCATATATCAGGTTTTGTGGACTGGTTACCTGCAACCAGCTTTAGGTCCAGTTGGATCTCCAGCTCCTGCTCCTGCTCCTGCTTTCTAATTACACACCGTAGCAGATACTGACAGTGGACGAAGTGGCTCATCTGTGACTTGACAAGCATATGAAGCAAAATGCATCCATAGGACGCAATTGTTCTTCATGGACCTTAGTAGAACTTCCCTTGAAAGTTAAAACTCTATATTTTACCGGTCAATGTTGGTTACTTTTTTTATATAAATACTAAACACTAACAAATAACAAGGAATCATTTGTCTAACTGTCTAACTTAACTGGTTGAGAATTGTAAACGACAGCATGTCAATTTTCTGTACCTTGTATCTTGGGCTTCGCACCCTTTTAACTACGGGTATTCGACGATTAGCAAAGCTGATATCCTCTGGCGAGCCCTTGCACTAAGTAAGCACTAAGTCCCGAAGAAGAAAGTGCGAAACATGCTTCTGTGAACTGAAAATGTTCGAGCGACAATATGCGTATTTCTGGACATATCTAGGTTGCCTAGAACAAGCTTATGCGTCTGGATTTCCTTGGTTAGATCTGATTGGATTAGATTTGCCAAGAAATTTTGCATTGCAAGCGCAAGAGCTCGGCAAACATTATTTCCACAGCTCGTATCATTCGAGCTCAGAGTTCTTAATTACTTTTTCTTTAAGTCTTAATAGCAGTTCCTCTTCTTAGAGGGAGGCTATAACGACGTGCGTACATTAAATGCAGAACTTGCTGAAATTACTGCTAAACTGGTAATGGATAAGGAAGGGTCAGTGCTTATCAGACCAAATCCTATTTATGCTGCCCACTATGAGAGTTAGTCAAAGTGGAACCGAGCTCACAGCTTATTTGATTCAATATAAGGCATCTATAGGAGAACATCAATCTCAGAGACTACTGTGGCGTTCAGACACACGTCGTATATGCCAAACAAATTATGAATGTTAAAACTTAATAATCTTGACAATTGAATTAGAATTGTGTTGTTTCGACCAATATCGATTTTAATCAGGGTTCTCGGGGCACCATTTTTGTAATGCTTATTATAGGGTACACGTTTTTTTTTTTTGGTTTCCCCTAAAACTAAACAACGTAAAACTTCAAATGTATACAGTATATATAAATATCTCCCTCAGTTTCAGCGATAGATTCAGACTGACTTGACCTGACTTCCTCTAAATATTACAATTTTCACATTTGTCACTGAGTCAGTTTTAATTGCACAGAGTTAAAGGCGATCTTCGGCGATCAGATCAAACAGTGTCATGTTTCAGAGGAAGTACACCACTGTGATTTATCAACCAGGCGAATTATTTAAATCCAATTATTTTTATTAGGCTATGCTCACAACACCTTCATTCGAAATATCCTATCATTGTCATACCAATTTATTGTATACCCTATAAGCTAGTCAACCTTGTAACTAAACTTCACTTTCATAGTCTTTCGCTTGGTAGAGATGAGAGTGTACTGATCCATTTCGTACGCGCTTACTTGGTGGTCTTCCTTATAGCCCTTCTTTCTCGTTAGGTTAGAAAGGTTTTAGATAGAAAGCTTGAAGATAGTTCTAAACACCACGTGGAGCCCTCTGCTAAGACTACGAAAAAATGGTTTATCTAAAAATGTACATTGATGATGATAGCAGCTTCGATCTGTCCCAATTTGATCATGAATGTCCTTTTCTGCATAAGTTTCAGGACATTCTGGAGCTTTCAATTTAAAAGCGAACCTTAGTTGTGAGCCGCAACTTGTTTGACGAAGTTTTTGAAACCCCTTGCTGCGGAAAATACTTGGACAAATGATATTTGAAAATAAACTTAAATTAAATACACACATTTCTATTCGGAAAGTAGGAAAGGGAATGGTAAATTGGTTCAGCTACGTGCGACGAATGGCTGGGTCAGCCACCAACCCCAGGGATCCTGATACCGTCATTCGGCATCGCGTGATAAGACTTTAATTGTCTGTAAATTGACGGCTGTTCCCAGAAGCGTTTGAACTGTCATTCACCCGTCATCAGAAATGCTGTGCTTTTGTCCGATGACAACTATGCTCTGTCCGGCTCTAGGGATCAGACTTTACGCAGGTGGGATTTGGCTGCCGGCAAGGCTACTCGTCGGGCGACACACCAAATACGTTCTCTCGGTTGCCTTCTCGGCTGATTGCCGTCAGATCGTGTCAGGCTTTCGGGAGCAGACCATCAAGACGTGGAACACTCTGACTGGGTGTTTAGTTTACCATCTATAAGCATGAGCCCAGTGATTGGGTGTCGTGCGTGAAGTTCTCGCCCAATCGCTCGAGTTCCATCATGGTATCCTGCGGGTGGAAGCGCACTGCATGTTCCAATCGAAAGCGAATTGGTTTTTTATGCCGAAACAGTATACATTTCAAATGTGTATTGTTTGCTATATGGACACTCCTATCTACGCGAATCGATTGCAAACGGAGCTAAAGAAATACCTTTTCCAGCAGCCGAAACAGGCTCAACCCTGACAAGGAGCAGCCTTTGAGTGTAGTTTCAGGCTGACTAAATAGGTTCGATATGACAAAGCTAGCTGTGGGCTAAATGGTATGTAATTTTACTCAGGACGTATTCAAAATCGGTTCGAGCGCAGAACCAAAGAAACAAATTTTAGTTAAATGAGAGTTAGCGGAGCGAGTCCGAGACCGAGACCGAGAGAGTAGAAAAAGGGAAAATGGAGCGTGGATCCGATGTAGAACCAAAGGAGTTAATGACCCAGCTGAAGCAACAGATTGCGCTGGCCAATGTCCAGGAGCTGTTAGCCACTGTCACCTGCAAGTGCTTCGAGAAGTGCGTGACAAAGCCGCGCGACCACTTGAGCGGACCGGAGCAGAGCTGCATCCATCTGTGCATGGATCGATACCTAGACTCCTTTCGCCTCTGCGCGCACACCTACGGCCATCGGCTCCGGCGCGAGTATAGCCGTCAGCGCAGCTGAGATGGGTTTTCAAATTGGGCTTTCGATCGAGGCGGAAGCTGTGGCTGCTGCCAATGATTCTGGATGCTGGCACGGATGGGTCTGTTAGCCACCCGCTTCCACGAATCATTTCATTAGTTTAGCCCAAATACATAGTCAGACTTACACGCGCGCGCACACTCAAAAGCAAAGTTCAGTTCATATTTTCTTTTTCCTGTTTTTTTTTTTTTTACTATCTGAGTGGTCGCCTTTGAATTGAGTTCGTTCGCATTTGTGCCAGGACTCTGCATTCAGTGGAGAACGCGTGGTTTCCTGTTCTGGACTGGCAGCAGCAGGAACGCGACTTTACCAGTTTCCGCTAGCCGACGCTTTGTTAGCCTCGTTGAAATGACGGCGGTTGTGGCCGCACCGACTGCAGGACCCCGATTCCTGCTAACCTTTTGGCCCATTCTGCCCCGCAGCTCCGCTGGCAAATTGCATTCGAGGGCTGCCATATGCTTATCGAATGCTTCATACATATGATGAGGCATACATATAAAGTACAGCACAACATTCTCCAACACAGCGAGGGGAATCGCCCTTTATGAGCGAAATTAGTACCTTTAGTTAATGAGCTTTTAGCCTTAACATTGCTCAATTTTATTAGCTTACCATCTATATCTGTAAATGTGTTTGTCCTGACTAACCGAACGGTGCAAACTGTAAGCGCAAAGAAAGCTGATAATTTTACTAAAACTTCCATTTGGGAAATTTTACAATATTGGCAATAACAAACCATTTAACTCTGTTTGGAATTCTTAAAATCCTAAAATAAAGCCCAATATGAAATCTTAAGTGCGTATGCACCAGAGTTCATGTGCGACTGCGAGACGAACGCAGCAGCCTGCGCCACAGTATTGAAAACTTCTATGTTTGGTATCCGATTTCCATGATATTTAGGGCATAAATATGGTATTCAAATGTGTGTATTTACCAAATTACAATGCTCTAGCTTGAAGTAGTGGAATATTAAAAAAAACGCGAGTTACGTATACGTTTCTTTCTTTAAATTTTCTCCACCTGTTTCCCGTTCCTTTTATTTTGAGCACGCCGTCTTAAGTTATATTTTGCGAACATGTGAAAATGAGCTGGAAGTTCATATGGCGCTACAAATTGGAGTCAGTGATTTTCGCTCCGTTTAGATTTTTCGCACAACAGTTGATCCACATCTTCCATTTAAGATGGTTGAGATTTGTTTACCACAGTTTCGGTGGAACTTTAAATATCGCTGCAACACGAAACTTTAGCCACCAAATGCTCGACCCCATATCAACCAAGGTGGGGTTCATTTGATTTTGAACAATGTGAAATACCCCTTAAATGAATTCAATCTAAGAACTTGGAAAATGTTTTTTGGGTTTTTCCAAAACCCCGACTTATCGTGCACCTTAACATAGTAAAAATATTAACCTTCCTAGCTCATAGGGTTTGGATTGTGCGTTGATCACCAATCAGTCAATCGCACTTAACTCGTTTCTTGATTTGCACGTGCCAATTTTTTATTGTAAGCAATACAACAACTTTTTACTATCTGCTATATACTCGTGCCTAATTGGGTCTAAAAACCTGCAGTCTAGTTTTAATGGGTTAGCATATGCACTTTCAAAAGTAAAATAAAATTGACCTTGTCTTGATGCACCGAAACAACAAACTCCTTCTGCCCGAAAGAAATGTACGAAAACAAGGCTACATTGTTTCTACTACGCGCTGTTAGAATCAAGCCAAACGAAAAACAAATGAAAACCAATATTATAAAAACAGTAAAATTCTCATTGTATTGTCCGTTTTTCGACCGGCACCGGCAGCATTACTCTTGGCACGCGACGGGCACAATTAATTGGTCCCCGCTCGAGTTTCAATTGCCTTCGCCAGAATTTCTGGGTAATTGCCTTTGCAAAGTGCTTGCACTATGTATTTGCAGCCTTGCTGTCAAAGGTAGAGTATTTTGATTGAGGCGGCAACTCTATACTCTTATTGTATGGTGGTATGAGTAAGAGCTTTGATTGATTGAATATAGATTATTGATATTGGGGAACGATTTGATTAATGCTGGCACTATCAATAGAACTCAATGACTTTGAGAAAGTTAAGCTTTTACTTTAAGGATATTCCAAGTTCAATCAGAGAGGCTCCTACAGAGCATCAAATAAATGCGCTTTAAGTTTAACGTGAGCTAAATTTAGTTAATTAAAAGCAATTTTACACATGACATTAGATTTTCTTTTAAAGTCCTACTCAAACAAAATAAATAAGTGGCCCAATTAATTTGCTTCATATCAACTTTGGTTTAATCAGTCATCTTAGGTAGGTGTCCATATGCACAATCTATGCGTTGTATTAACTTTTCTTTTATCACGAAAACAATTTAGGTGATTGCAGATGAATAGCTCGAATAAAACTGGGGAAAGTATCTTTAGTAAGGAAACGTCAGAATTTCCATTCCAAATTCAATCACGAGCTTCCAGTTACCAGAGTGTCATTGGCGTTGTCCTTGCCTTAGACTGCGAAAGCTAAGTGAATGCCATTCGCAATATTTAAAAAAATGCGTGTCCTTGATAGACACACACGTCGTGCGCCGGCCGGGAATCGAACCCGGATCTGCTGCTTGGGATACAACCATGCTCGCCACTACACCACCGGCGCTTGCAGCTTCATTGACGACGAATGTCAGCTAAGTGCAAACGAAAGGGGCTCGGATAAGGTTGGCTGGAGTTGTGTTGCAACAGCAGCAGCAATCAGCAGCTGTTCGTGGCGCATCAGACGACGGTCGCCATTTGCCTGTTGCCAGTTGCCAGTTGCCAGTTGCCAGTCGTCAGTCGGCACAGTCTGAACAGCTTTGATGATGGCTTTCACTCGAATTCAGGCATGGACGTCTACATTGTGTCTATAAATCAACAGCTGCACATTTTGGCTACCATGCAGGGGGTGGAAAGTGGGATGTGTTGGACACTCTGACATTCCCGTGCTTCGGCTTGGACTTATAGAATGAACTGCAGCTGGTAGCCATTCGCCGTTTGCCGTTTGCCGATTGCCGTTTGCCGGTTGTCGGTCGTCGGTCGTTGAATTAAGTTGAACAAAAGCAAGAGGCTTTGCTTAGATTACGCATACGCCGTGTTGCACGTCCGAGGCTCGCTGACGTTGCTGCTGCCACAGCCGTTACCGGTCGTAGCACTCATTGCGAGTGCAGAAAAAAGGGTGAAGCACACGCAAAGGTGCCACAAAAGCGCAAATGTAAATGGGCTTTTCAAAATGAATATTAAATTGCAAACAAGGCAACGAGACGGCACGGGGTATGGGGCATGCTGAATGGTGAATGTGTCGTGTGGCATGGGCGGGCCGGGCCGTGTTACTGAGCCATTATTTACATACATATGCATGCTTGAATGTGCCATATTTGTATATAGACATAATGCAGGGGTGAAAGGCTGCTCGCTATACACAGCGAGTAAATACGGATTATGAACACCCCGAATTCAGAAGTCAGTGACACGTAGTGGGCACAGTGGGTGGGCGACATCAATACCAGTATTAATTAAGATAGAAAGTTCGCAATGTAAATGTCTTAATTAATAGTACAGCGTTACACAGCGAGCCGAGCCCATCAACAGGGTATACAATTAAGCCATATTAAACGAACGAAAACTTGAAACTGATCGCATATGAATTCCACGGAAGTCGTTCAATTAAATCCAAAACAGCTGCAATTGCGCCAAAAAGAAAGGCTTTCTTTGGGTTCGCCTTCTTAGCTTTTAATGTTGAATATGTCTCGCTTAATATCCAAACAGAGTGTTTATCTATACATAGCTTATGTACCTTCACCAACTATAGCATGGGCTGAAATTTAATTGGGCTATGACAACTAGGTCTTAAGCTCGTTGTGTGCTGAAATTATACAAGTGTGAGTGTAATATGCCTTGTACTCAAATCCTCAATTATGGTTACCATAGTGTTAACTATCGTCTGGGAAGAAGTTCGGATATGAGCTCAATTATATAAAGTTATAAGGTTGGCATTGAGCAGATAAAGAGCTATCAAAAATATGTTTGTTTGTAAGCGTTACACCTATAACCGAGTAGACTCTGCACATATTTATTATGATTGAATTGTTTGTGTTTTATTGCGTGTTAAATTGTTATTTTTCGGTTGGGTATATTGAGTTGAAAACTTGTTTGTAGATAAAATTGTTTATTTTATATATATATTATATGCATTTTTATAACTTCAAGAGCTCCAGCCCTGGAAATGGCGGTATTTCACCAATTGTGCACTTGCAGTTTGGTGCCAATTGTTTTACAATTTTTGAGTTTTTAACGCTGATTTCACTGTATTTCAAACTGTAGGACAATAGAGGAATAGAGGGTAAAAGTTAAAGTGGCGAAAAATACACATGGAGAAAGTGAGAAACAGAAGCTTTCATTTTGAACTCAAAATGTTATTAAGCATGAAGCCTATTGTTAAGAAAGGGTTCAGGGAATTTGTTGTAATTGGAGAACTAAGTATATATTGAAAGATGTGCTGATTTTCAGTATCTTACTTTGAAAAATTAATGAAGTTCAATTAATAAACAAAAAGAAAAGAAAGTACACGAGCCAAGAGGTAAGAGGTGAAAAGCCAAGCCTGCGTGCACAGATATGGAAAACCAGGCTCACGGGCCAAACCTTAAGGCGAGTTATTAGAAAACGTGTGCTCAGTTTGCAGTCTCGTCTTGCACTTTAAATTGCAGTTTCAAAATTTATTTTGAGCGCTTTAGAACTGAGACAGGGTTGGCGATAGCAAAGCGCTGAGGGCTGAGAGTGGGCGGAACGCAAGTCTTTAGCCATTTGCCTGCCTCATATATGACATGGCATATGCATTGTTTTCAAAATGATTTGCGGTTCTAATTTTTCGCACACACACACACTGAAACACATACACCCTGACAGAGAGAGTTGGGAGCTGCAAAAAGTTATGCATTGTTGGCATACTTTGTCGTCGTCGTTGTCGTCTTTGCTTTATTTTTGTGGGTTTTGTAGCGCAAGTTGAGCGTACGCTCAAACCAAACTCGAACTCGAACTCGAACTCAAGCGCAAGTCGTCCGCTTGCCGGCAAACTATGCAGCAAGTAAAATGCCACCGCAAACCGCATGCAGCGCCGACTGTTGCAACTGCTGCCGAGGCCTTC